TGCAAGTATCGTGTCATACTTTCTACCAATATCACATACTGTAGACCTGAATCAGGTTCAGAGAAGTCACAAGCATGTCACAGTGACCAGCACTGCCTCAGGATATATAAACAATGCAATGCGTGTCAACTTTTGTTTTTTAAACAGCACCAGAACCTTTCCACTTTGCAGTAATTGCTGCCTAAGTAATACAACTAAAAACATAATTAGGAACAACTTGTAACTGTTTCTCCCATAGCTGAGCTCATGCATTTCCTTGTGCGTTCACTTCCTTTGCATTCCTGTAGCTCATTGGTTCTGCTGAATGCAGAGACGCTTTCACTAGCAACATTCATTTACAATGTTTTTCTGTTACGTAGTTACATGACTACAAGATGACTGCTTGCAGGATTTACTTGTGTGTAATGCAGAAACAATAAAATAATCCTGTTAGGGAAGTTGGCTAGGCCAGTATTTTTTTAGTTTTTAATAGAGTGGGGAATGGCTAGACCTTGTGACAAGTTTTTATTGCTGTCTATGGTTGAACACACTAACAAGGTTATTCACAGAAGGGTGAAGGGTTTGGAGAAGACAGGAGAAGTGAACAATCTAGGACAACATAGCTGAACTGGAAAAATTCTCCAATTCAGCTCACTTTCCAGTTCAGCTATGTTGTCCTAGATTGTTCACTTCTCCTGTCTTCTCCAATCTCTTCACCCTTTTGTGAATAACCCTGTAGATCTTCATTCAAGCAGTGCCCGCAAATAAAGGTGAGATACTTAAGCATATGACACACAAAATTGAAATGGTGTGTTCATTACTCTTCACCCTTTTATGAATAACCCTGTTAGTCTTTTTTTTTTGTGTTCATCCCTGCAGGTAGAACTAGAAAGAACACTCAATTTTCCCATCCGTATGAAACAGCACGAATGGAGGAACCCCATCCGCCGCGCTATTGTATTCTGACAGCGAAGCGTGTGTTGCTGTCAGAATACGTGAACAGTGACTGCAACTGATTGGTTGAGAATTTTAAGACCGGTTCCTTTGACAATAATTGATTAATAAAAAAAAAAAGGCATTTGCCAAACAGGTTGGTGCCGATTGGGCCACACGTTGGTCCAAGTTTGGCTGAATCAGCAGAATTTGTCTGAAATTTGAAAAGTTTATGGCCAGCTTAAGTCGCCACTAGGAAGATTCACCACCCTATTTGTCACTGAGAAAGAAAAGGGAAATCCAACATTTTAGAGGTGCCTCCAGAACAAGGAGAGGCACAATTTTTCAATGGGGACACTTGTTTCAGGACAACGGTATAGGGCGTGGTGCGGCCATCAAGTTCCTTTCTTCCCTGCCTGGGGGTCTTTTTATAGGAGAGCCTCTAACCCAGTCCTCATTGGCCGGGTTTGACTGGCCATAAGGAGAGGGGTCCACCTGGCTTCAGCTAGGAGGACCATATTCCTCTGCTCCTGTCAGGATCCTTGCACCCCGGAGGGGTGAGGGAAGGAGCAATCAACACACAGTGTGCACCTTTTTGTATGTGTTCACATGCATGTTTTGATTCACTTGGCATTTAGTTTTTATGCACTGGAACAGGAAGTTAAGGAAAATGTCCCTCATTTTACACAGACAGCAAAGATTGACCCGGCAGGGGTTTAACCCTTCCCTACTCTGTGCAAAGCTACAAAATTATTTTGGCTTTACATACACTTTAAGATTGTTGAGTTTTATGACTAAAACTACAATCTCCATAGTGGCTATAGCCGTGGCTATAGCAGAGAATGCAGCAATAAATATAGTGTAAAAAATGTAGAATAATAAAGGAATTCTTGAAGGTATAGACCAGCCTTCCTTAACCAGGGTGCCGCAAAATGTTTGCACAGTGTCAACCTTTTCATGGTGCAGGTGGATTGCCCACCAGCATAATTAAAAAGAATGACACTAATCCAGGGAGGGTGGCATCCATTGAGAAGAGGACAGATGTTCTCCTCCGTCCAGTCCAGCTTTGCCATGCTGCCAGTAGTAGGACTCTGCTATGAAGGGGGTCCTGAAGGACTATGATGTAAAGGGGCAACTGATGTGAAAGAAGGTGGAGACTGGTATGAAAGGGGGAACTGTGATGTAAAAGGGGGGCTTGTGATGTGAAAGAGAACTCTATTGTGAAGGGGGGGCTTCTGATGTGAAGGGGGGGTCTGGTGTGAAGGGGGG